AGAGAGAGAGAGAGAGAGAGAGAGAGAGAGAGAGAGAGAGAGAGAGAGAGAGAGAGAGAGAGAGAGAGAGAGGGAAGGAGAAGGCAATGGAAAGGGGAAGGGGAAACGGGGTTTGGGAGAGAGCAGAGAGAGGGAGGGGAAGAAACATACTTCCTAAACCTGACATTGACATCAATGCCTGTTGCCAACCGTGGGAGAAGCTGGATGGCATCTTCTATGTTTTGCCGCTTATTCCTCCCATATTCATCATCCTAGGTCAACACAGAAAGGGCCCAAACAGATGACACACAAATAAGATCAAAACTGTTCAACTCCCAGGAGAACCTCCTCCTCATCACCCTCATCTAACAGTGCTCATCCCCTGGTGCACCCACGATCTCTTTCGACATATAGGATTCAGCCTCCTGATGAGTCGGTGAAACTCCGACAAAACAGTTTGTCACAGCCCCTCGTTTGTTGTCCTTTTCTCCCTCTCTGCCTACGGTTTACCGGGCAGCTCTGTTTGACTATACATAGACAAAACATGTGGTGGAGACATACAAAACCAACACATCCACACCTGCACACAAACACAAACAAAACTTGACAGTCTTCTCCACTAGTACTCGAAACTGAACAGTCAGCTAGGATTCCAAGGTTGGTCCTAGTGAAGTTGACTTCTCTCAAGGGCAACGCACACACACACACACACACACACACACACACACACACACACACACACACACACACACACAGGAAGAAAAGGGATGGATACAGATAGGGCAGCTCCATTAGATATATTTCAAGACTGGGGAAGGGTTGCCGGTGCCCTCCGCCCTCCAACAATCACTGTGTTTAAGATTGTCAGTTACATGCACAAACTGCAGCAGAAGGGGGGGAAATTACAGGCAACAGCTGCAGCAGAAGGGGGGAAACAGCACAAAAGAGTGTAGTTATTCCCGAGAGGATACCTCCTAGCAACCACAGTCTTCAAGCTCGTCAGTTATCATATGCACAAGCCGCAGTAAAAGGTTAAAAAAAACTGCAGAAAAGAACTTTGGCAAGAGAAGAAGACAGAACAGACACCATCCACGCTCCCAGGAAACGCATTTGACTACATACCACACATGCACATGCCCCCAGCAATCCTAATCCCTTCGAAGTCCCTCCGTCAAGCGCGCCACATAGCCACTCTCAGTTTTCAGTTGCTGGCCAGTCGGCATCCATCTTATCATTATATTTGCAATTGAAAGTTCCAGAGCCTGCCTCCGCTTCGCTCCCATTAGCAAGTCCTAGCATCTGTACGTGTCGTCGAACTTCCTTGGCTTCTCTCTCTAATGCTGATTTTTGTTTTGGGAGGGAGGGTGGGGGGGTGGGGGGGTGAAGGAAGAACCGGAGGTGACACATGCTCGATATAAGTGCAGCGATGTATATGAGCCAAGGATCAGCGAAGTGATGATAAGGACTCGAATGGACAATGCAGCATCAGCGAAGCATCAACAAACAACGCACATCCATATACATAAACAATAGCACAATGTAGCGCAGCGGAAGACTCAAAGATATGACCTGTCCTGTCAGATACTGATGCGACTCGTCCCATCACACACCACACATGTGAGAGAGAAGGGAGGGACTGCACAGACGGAAGAAAGGTCCCTCCTTGAACACGCACATGGGGAAATACCGTGGATGAGGTGAGGGAGGAGCAAGACGAAGATGGAATCAAGGGAGAAGACCAAGATCCCGATAGCGAAGTCCAAAAATACTCCCTGTCGAATGTCCAATCAATGTCTGCCGCTATGATGTCGAATCAGATCCTGGGCCTCATAGCCCGACATAACCTCTCCCTGTAACCTCTCTCTCTCTCTCTCTCTCTCTCTCTCTCTCTCTCTCTCTCTCTCTCTCTCTCTCTCTCTC